CATTTTTAAATTCCCTATGCATTGAGCCATAGTGAGTCTAGTTTCATGTTTGCTTTCAGAAAAGATGAAAGTTGTTTACACTTTTCATTTTTTAAAAATAATTGTAAAGTTAAAATTATGCAGTGTTGCTTATGCCTTCTGTCTCTTCTCCTTTCCTTTCCTCCAAGGTGAATATAGAACTTTTTTTTTTTAAATTCAGTTAACTGGAACCAATTATAAAATCTATAAATAGGAACTGATAATAATGACTACTTCTAAAAGTATTAACAAAATTAATTTTATAAGGATGTTATGGTTTAAATTAGCTGAAACTCAATGGGGCTTTTGAATGTGTACTTCTTTGGGCTTATATCAAAATGTTTCATTACCAAATGAAGTTTTGTTACCCAGTAATACAGAAGATTATAAAGATTTATGAAGTCTTATTTTTTAAAGTTTCTTTTTGTAAGACATAAGAACAGGAGCTCAAATAAACTTGGTGAATCAGATGTTTGATATATAAAAATAGGAATCCAGTTATATATGACTAGTATAAAAAACCATACCTTTCTGTGACCTACAAGCAAGGATTCTGGTACCCTTTTTATTAGAGTCAAAGCTAAAACTGCATAGATTTTTTTTTTCTTGCTTTTGACTCCCCTCTCTCCTCAGAAGATTTAGGCCAAGTTATTTGAAAGTTCTTTCATGTTCCCCTGATTCAACTATGTCCTATTTTATCTCTCTGTTATGTTGAAAATTTTCCTGAGATCCCTAAACTTGTGATCATAATCTCTCTATGCCCTTACAGTCTCTTGTGAAATGGAATGAATTAATTCATGTGCCAGGCTAATTGTTGTCAGTTTGGTACATCCTCTCATGCTCTCATCCCCTCACTTGGGAAACGTCATGGAAAATGCCTTCTGAAATGCTAAATCCTTCTCTCTCAGGTTCATTTAAATTCAGCTGGAGCTTCTGGAAGGCAAGCAACTGTTGAAAATTAAGCAATTAGCCTGCGTGCTTAAGAAAACAACATTCACCATTATGGCTTGTACATTATTCTGATGTTATTGATCTGAACTGTTTAATTAATGTTTGAGAATTCATTAACATAAATTATTTTCAAACCGTATCAAAATTTATTGAACTTTTCATCCGAAAAATTCTGATAGTGAGATTTAAAAAGAAGATATTGTGGTTTACATAGCATATTGAGCATGATGCATGTAAAGATGGAAGATTATTGTCCTCTGCTTTCCTTATTTTGTTGTCTTGCTTACCAAAACATTGTGCAGTACCTTTGAAAAGTAGTTGGGGCTGGGGAGAAATGTAAGTAATTAAAGAAAGGGTAGCTACTTGCTGCAGCATTTCCATATTTCAGAAGGGTAAAGTTCCATGAGGAAAAAGAAAAATAGTGTATAATTGCAGAATAGAGAAATGTTTATAATATTGTGTTGTTCACTCTCCTGTGAAAGTTATTTTAAATTAAGCTGAGCAAATGTTTTGTATCTTTCAGTGTTCTGTTCTAAATGAACTATACTTAATACTAAAACCTCTGCTTGGTGAGAATACTCTAACACCTCTCAGTGTCTTCTACAGTGGTCCTCACAGGATTTCTTTTAAGAAATTATTCCATTTTTCTACAGTCATGTAATAGGTTATGTATATTACAGTAAGAGAGAGATGATAGAGAAAGCACTGAAATCAATTTAAAAGTGAGCTGCTTTTTTTAAAGCTCACCTCTTTTGCATTGGAAAGCTAGATGGATAATCTAAACTACTTCTAGATCTGCTGTAGTCTATCTTAGTTCAATTATTTACTGTATATACATTTACAAAAGCATATATCCAGAAATGACTGTACTACTTTAGAGTTCAATTCTAATAGGATAATCTTCACTGATTATGTTAGGTCCTCTAAAATGTTTTTCAGCTATGGAATAGTAGAATCACAGATTTTGTGGTTTTGGGCAAGAACCTAAACACCAGGCTCTACACATAGATCTCCCTTGGGCAGGACTGGTTTTGCACATTCTTTACATACAGCATGTGGTTTTGCATCTGAATTTTGGGCTATTCGAAACATTTATGAAATGCATTCAAACCACTTACCAGCTCCTAACTAACTTTCAGCATAGTTTAAAAGCTTTTAGGTGAGCAATGTCTGAACTCTGGTTGTATGAATGTTGCTTCTTCCCTTAGGGACTACAGGTCACAGAGCAACGATAGAACAGAGGATAAAGCACTTTCAAGTGAAGAGATCTGGCTGTGGAACAACCACCCACTTTCCTTTGTTCTTTGCTAAGCACCCTGATTGGTGGCAGTCAGGATGTCAAATATAATAACAGGATGTGGCAACCAAGTCATGTGTTTCTTTGCTATCTGTTGTCTTTTCTGGCCAGAAAACATGAGGCAGTTTGGAACACACGTCTTGGAGGACACTGGCATAAATTATAGTTTGACCACCATTACAAAATATTGAAAAGTTTGAAGGTTTTTGAGAAAGAGAGACTTCAGTAAGAAGAAGCACAGAATTTTAACCTTATTTATTTATCCAAATATCTACCAGGCATAATTCTGAACTCAAAAGTGGAAAAAATGTAGCATTAGGGATTTAGTTATGGCTGGCAGCTTGGAGGACCAATGTCACTTGGGCATTAAAAATATTCAAAGAATATTTTTAGAAGTATATGCATAAAATCCACAGACAAAGTAAATAAAGAAAATACTGATGTAATGAAAAGATATTTTACATGTCCATCCATGGTTTTGCTTTCCTTTTTCACTTAGCTATTCTTTTTTTGTGTATATGATTTAGTGAAGTAGCTAATACACATTTCATTAATGCACAATCTAACAAAGTAATTTCACATTGCTAAAGTTGGTTGATTTAGTGATTAATGTATTTGTTATACTTGCAGTTAAAAAATACATTTATATAGTGTAGACTAATCACCGGTTTACTTGGATGCGGATACAACTCCTTTTGCCGTTGTGGTTTGATAATTTATACACAGTGAATTAAATGTCGGTAACTATTAGAGAGAAAAAATATGAAGTTTGTAGCATGAGTGAAACAGAATATGATTTGCCAAAGTAAAAGTGTGGCCAGAATTCTATGATGAGACAAAGATAGTGAGTCCATGTCCAAGTTGATTATTTCCATTTTACACCCAGCTTGAGCATTGTCGGCACTATTTTTTTAGGTTTCTGCTATTTTAATCTTCAAGAGGTGAGAGTTTTATTGGTTTCACTGAACTTCTTTCTCCAATGAAGTTGTATATTAGAAGCTCAGCATAGATACCCCTTTGCCAAGCTTTCATTCCTAATAATGATGACTTGCACAAGAGCAGTCAAATTTTGCAATCTATGCTGCTGGTCCCTCATGAGGGTATTGATACACATTTAAAACATTAACCTGAGGCAGTTAAGTCTTGGTCTTAATGGAAAAACCTTGTTTCATGTTGGCATAAAATGTTTACATCTCATAAATACATAAAAAGAAAAATCGAAGAAGTCAGGGGAAATCTCTGCTCCAGAGTGTTAAAATGATTTTAAAATAATTGTAAAAAATTATTTATACTGTGACTCAGATGTCAAATTCACTGAGGTGTTTGGAAAATTTAGTGTTGATTTTCTTTTTTTTCTGACATGGTTTCAAGATGATTTTTAAACTAAAGGAGTTGCACTAGAGTTTTCTATGCAGAAATGGAGTCTTTCTGAAGCATGGGGAGAACTCTCAAAGTCAATTTTGTGGTATAATTTGGCTCTGTCTCTTAATATTTTAATGATGACAGGTTGCTCTTCTGTTTGATCTAGAAACAAAGACAATAACGCTATTTTTTACAGATTAATGATAAGCTGTTTTAAAGTCATATATGTAATGAGTAGCACCATTGATAAGTATGCAGTTGTGTCAATATCTTTCAGGACAACTTTATCTTTAGTAGTCTGGTATTAGCAGGATGGGATCATAATGCTTCACATTGCTATGACCCCATTGCAGTCTAAACCTTCCTCGAGGGGGAGGTGCTGATCTCTCCCTGGTACCAGGAACAGGACACGAGGAAATGGAATGAAGTTGCATCAGGGGAAGTTCAGATCAGACATCTGGAAAAAGTTCTTCGCTCAGACGGTGGTCGATCAGTGGAATAGGCTTCCCAGGGAAGTGGTCATGGCACCAAGCCTGTCAGAGGTTGAGGAGCATCTGGATAATGCTCTTAGTCATATGGTTTAGTTTCAGGTAGTCCTGTGAGGAGCAGGGAGTTAGACTCAATGATCCTTATGTATCCCTTCCAACTTGAGATATTTTATGATTCATTTTATTACTTAAAACAGACAATGCTGTCTTAACAGGATCAGTCATCAATGGAGTTTTATTAATCAGTTCTTACCTTGATGGCAAAACCAAAGCCAAATTAAAGTAAATAACAAAAGTTTTGAACCAACAACTTGTTTTTTTCCCCCCTGTAAGTAATGCTGTATATCTCAGCACTCTCATTTGACTACTGGGACCTACCCTATTTAAAACAGGGTGATTAGTAACTCTTTGACAAACACCAGCAGAACATGTTACCACCTAGGAAAAGACCAAAGGACTTCAATTCTCTGAATTAGACATCCAAAAATCCCCTGCTTTTTGTCTAATTATAGAAAAGATAAGATATACTAAGTACATCCCTGTGAGCTCCATAGGTGCCTTTAGTTGCAATTTTGTATGTACTGTTAAGCCGTATTCTAATCAACAAACTAGAGAGCATGAAACTTGATTTCAGGGTCTGATATAAGGGCTCTGAATTTACTCTGGGCTATCTCATACTGAGGTATTGTAGCAATACTGTCAGTTTTCGAAGTAATGCTTAATTCAATAGTCGCTTTCAAGAATAGCTGTGCCAGTCTATATCTTCAGAAATAAGTGTTTCAAATACGGTTCAAAGTTCTTGTTAACAGAATATTATCTGTTGGATTAGTATGAATTTTTTTACAAAACATTCACATTTTTTTTTCTTTTCCCCCTCACTCTAGACAATTGATTTAGAGGGGTTCAAGCTGTTCATGAAGACTTTTCTGGAGGCAGAGTTACCAGATGATTTTGTTGAGCATCTTTTTACATCATTTAGTAACAAAATATCTCACTGCAGCCCATTAATAAAAAACAAGCCACAGCACCTTTCTGGAGGTAAGTGATAACATCACAGTAATATAAGAGCTAAAGGTTCCCTCACTCTGCTATTTTACTTCTAATAGCTTTAAATATCTGGAGTTCTAAACTATATGCTGGTGGGGGAGGTTGTTCTGGTATTTGTGAAATTAGAGAAACTAACTCACTCATGATAAGAAATGCTGTGAAAAGAAATGGAAATTAAATGGTTTAATCTTCTAATTCATAATAATGATGCAGCTGAGACACCAAGTGGACGGTCTTTGTCATGTTAATGCTAATCAGATTGCTATGGTTACATGATCTTGCTGCCTACTCTACTGTATAAACAAGTAGAAGCCTTCAGAGCTTCACACCCAAGGCTCCTGATGGAGATCTATTGTTTCTGTGCCCAGTTACTGCTGTTTCTTTTAATTGTCTAGGTGTGATTCTGTTGTTAGTAATCCTACATACTTAGCAGCTTTTATTTTAAAAAATCGTCTTTTATCATTCTGGTATTGTATTTTTATGATTTTGACACTTCGTATGTAGAAATTATAATAACTGGTTTTAGGTCATTGCCAGATTTACAGATAAGTTCTGCCCAGTATAGGCTATACTCGAATTTCTTCATTTTTACTATAATTCTCTCTCATATATTTTATTCTTATGTGTGATAAAATTATAATAATGATAATTATTATAACATCGTTATTAAAGTTGTTATTATTGTTGTTGTTTAAACTGTATGCTAAGTTTCTTACTCGAATGCTTCTTCCAAAAATTTTTTTCTCCTGCACAAACTTCTCCCACTTTGTAGTTAGTTTTCGTCTTTTCCAGTTACTAAGGACTTCAGAAATAATATAACAAAATACCGGCTTAGGAATGTTCCATTTGTATATAACGTAATACCAGGAGGACTGTTTGATAAATTGTTATATCAAAAACATGTTCAGAGAGGCAATTCAGTTCACCTCATGAAAGAGTTATTTGTGGTTGAAAATATACTGTTTATATTGTAATTCAGTTGCATGAGATTTAAACTAAATGTTGTGTCTTGATAATTTGTAGAATTTAAAGGGAAAAACTGTGCATTAGTACATTTTGATGTGCAAATGGCAATTATGCAAACTTTTGTTTTAGGATATCTAGTAATTTTTAAATGTTGCTAATAGTGAAAAAAACCTGACTGGTACTGCAAAATAAATTTGACAGAAACATTTGACATTCTTCTGGAAAATGAAAAGATACATGAGAGCTAGAGAAGATGACAAGAAAAGTAGTAGAGTTTATCAGTCTTCCTGGTACATGTTTGTTTTTCACTTAATGTCTTTTGGTCCACTCATGTCTGTTTATAAATTGTATTTTCAGTTAAGGCATCTGAAGAGAGATGGAAACAGATGCCAGGTAAGCAGAAGCACTGAGAGTCATCTGTAAGTCAGAACATTGGTGTCAGCCTCTCCCACCTCTGTTTAAGAAGTAATAATTTAACCTGTACCTTGCAGCTGATGATAAGTTAAAAGATACCTTAAAATTTGTATTACTTTCCATTTGGATGTCAGGACTATATATTTTTGAAAAGAGTTATCCCAAGTTTTGAAATACTTTTTATTCTGTGAATAATATTCACATGACTGGAATGCGAACTATTTGTGTAAATTTTGTGATTAAAGCTAGCATCTGAATTGGATAACATTTTATAATGTCTTAATTTTAATGACAGTTAACTGACATGCAAGCTCATTAAATAGAATACTGCCCTGTTAAATATTTTTATTCATTTAAATATTTATTTTCAGTTTATTATTTGCCTGAAACCATGAACATGGACTTGATTCCAAGATACATTTTCTGCATGCCAATTTGCTCTTATTTACCAAATTTTATTGTTTTAACATGTGTAGACATGTACTGTTTTAACATATAGAACTACCTTTTAACATGTAGACTTTTAAAGATGTCTTCAGAATGCAATGAAGTATTTCAAAGTAAAAATAGGACAGTGAAAAAAACCACACCAAAATTCTATTTCCATTTGCTACAGTAATTAACTTGTTCAAGACAAATGGATGAGAGAAATTATGTATTCAGGTTATGTGTGCAATGATGAATCTGTACTGAATTAGTTACAGAAAATTTTTAAGAACAGTATATCCTTTTGCAAAGTTTCATCTTTAACATCACTAAAATCAGAAAGAAATGTAACAACTTGTAAAGAAAGTTTTATTACTGCTTTCTCCGTGTTCTGCTGTCCTTCCCAGTTTTTCCAACTTTGATCCTGCAGATTCCAGTAATATCATCAGGACTGGTCATACTAATGTTGTCCTGAAACAAAAGAAGTTTGGCAGTTTTGAAACTTGTATTCTAAGTGGTACACTGGAACTGCTGTTAATCATAATGTCTGAGCACATATTTAAATTCTATGTTTATTTCCTCGGTAGTTTGTCACTGAGGTTTCCATGTTTTAAATATGTACTGCACTGACATGCATCTGGCTGTGTTTTTGGGATAACAATACACTTGGGTGTTAGCAGAGTTTGACACTAAAACATCTTCAATTAGTGTAGTTGGTGTCAGTCTATAAATTAAATGAAGATTCTACAAGCACAAGGCAGAGTTGGGCAGGGATTGTTTTAATACTTAACATGTAATGTAGTAGATTAAAATTATTCACCAAATTGGTTTATAGCCAACTGACATCAGATCAATGCAAATGAAAAAAAGGTTATGTCATTCCCATAATTGGGCTGGTAGTCTGATAGTTCGCTTTATTTGTACAACACTTCCAAACCTCACTATCATTTAAATTCTACCTTTGCTGGATAAACTATGAACACAAATTGTTTAGAACTTTGGATGAAGAAGTAATCTGAGATTCACATAAAACAAAGATGCATGTATGCAAGAGTTTTGTTTTCATTTTCTGCTTGTATCATATGTGAAGACTAACAATGGCTATTGGTTATTTCCAGGTCTGAGACTTAACAAAGGTACCTCTACATCCAGACCTCCTACTCCTGCCAACTTACATTTACCTGACATGATCCAGCTGAAAGATATTGTTTGCTATTTATCACTGCTAGAAAGAGGAAGACCAGAAGACAAGCTAGAATGTATGTTCTTTTTTAAAGTTAATTTTATATATTTATTTCCACAAGTCATCAAATGTTCTGTTTCTGAGTTTAAGAATCAATTTTGAGACAGCTGCATTATAAAAATATGGTTCTAGGTGACTGTTGTTGCAGAAATTATTTTTTAATCTTTCTAATAGTATTAATTTCATGAGATTTTAACTAAATTTGCTCTATCTAGCACTCGTAAAGATGAGGAGTAAGGATTGTACATTCTGTAGTTAAAATAATCTTTTCTATACTGTCATCCCTTGATTAGCATCAGATCTGAGAAAAACAAATGATGTATACTGAGGATACCTGGAGATATATAGATGGAGTGAATAATCTGTACTAAACAAGCCAATTCAAAAAAAGAATAGTTAGTGTAGGCTGTGGGCTCTATAATGTTAGTGAATACTGAAAAGCCAAGAATGATCCAAGTCTGCCTCACTGTTGGGAATGAGTGTTTGACATGGGAAGTTAGAAATGTTTTTTTTTTAATTAGGGGCCTGAGTCAATAAAGCACAACACCTCTACCTATTAAAAAATAACTTTGAGTTCCATTTGTGAATTGGAGAAAAATGTCTTCATTGAGATCAAATATACTTCAATATACGTAGCTGGTCTGTCTATAGAAGATCTGTGGGATCAGGCTCTAATATGGAAAGTAAACATTCAGTATGATAGGGCATGCAAACAGTAGGCTTCTGTCAGAGTAAAAATTCATTACATGGTTACATGACCACATATTGTTGAAGTATCTTGATGTTTCATTACCTGTAGTTAGCTTACAATGGCAACTTTGTACTATAAGATCATTGATACCTTTGCCTCAGCAAAGATTATAAGCAGCTATTCTCCAGATTTGGTGACACCAGTTTGGTATCACATGATTAGAATACGAGAATGTACACATGAATGTGCATTCAGAACACAAGCACAGAAAAACTAAGTTCTTAGAATTGATTTTAGCTTACAGTGTAATAACTGTTTCACGGTAGCAAGTTATGCAAGCCTTATCAGAGCTCTGAAGATCTCAGTGCACAAACCATAGCATGAAATGTAGATTAGTTGCCTCCCCTGGTGTCAGGAATTGGTACAATGAAAAGGAGGAGAGACAGAGGAGCAGGTGATGATTATAGTTTAGGGAATTTTCCATGAACTTCCTGCAATATAAACTACATGTGCAAAAGACTGTGTTCTATATGATTTAGGAGGGAGAGAGCATGATCTGATAGGTGTACGGTACTTGCATGTTTGTATATTCAAGGTCATTTGTATTTACTGTGTATAATTATGGGCATATTATTTTATAGGTTTATTTTCTACTTTGTTATTGTATTAGGGAGGGTTTGGAACACACTGAATCCTGAAAATCATGACACCGTTAAAAGCTTAACAAAAACCAATATTTATTACCAAGAGGTGGCCAACAAAACGAACAAACCCAAAAGAGAGGAAGGAGGAGAGAAATAAGCCCCCGGCACGACCTCCCCAGTTACCCAGCTGTTGCCCATAAAGTTATCTTACCGACCTAGCATCCCTATAATTACCCATAGCAGAGGCTGCATCCTTGGCGAGTCAGTAAGTTCACAAACTGGCAGGCATCCCCACCAAAAGACAATGTTGTCCTTGGTGTGAAGCTAGCTCACCTCCAAGAAAGCACTGTCTGCTTTTATACAATTAATTGAGTGACCTCAGCCTCCCAGGCGTGGCCAGCACTGCCCAGCCAGAGGCCCTCAGTCCCACCCTCTTGGCTATGTAAGTGCATCCCTTCAGCACGAGAACTTTGGAAATCCCCGCACGCACGCGCAGTATGCCTTGGGGGTCTTTCTTAATTGAGTCTGAGGGCGCTACTTCATCATCCTCCTCCTCAAATTCTCCTTCCAGCGACCTTGGAGGACAATTAGCCAATCACAGAACACCAATTAAAACAGTTTATACAGAAGTTCTCCCTCCAAGGACGAATTCACTGTTTTATCAGTGAATTTAGCAGAGAGAATATAAACTACTACAGGTGGCTGGGGCCAAACACAGACCAAAAGTATCAGCATAAATTCACCCTGGTACAGTCATACAGACTTAAAATATACCATGTATTGTCACGTTTTAGTATCTAAATTTTGACTTATACTGTACCATTAGTATGCAGACTTTCCCGTTGATTTTAGTTGAATTCTTCTTATAAATTAATGGTATAATTTCGCCCTTTGTCTGAAATAGTTTTATAGCAGTAGATCCTGTGGCTGTAAGGTAAATTATAATTTTCAACAATGAAGTGAAAAAAGAAAAATTACTTATTGTGGAGTTGTCGACATTAATATTAATACTAATCTCTAATCATGATTTTTTTATTATTTCTCTGTTGACAAAAATTGAAAAAATTAATCACAGCTGAGTGTTTGGAAACTTACTTCAGGACAAGCAGAAAATGAACATGGTGCTTTCAAATAGAATCTGGTATAAGCTAGAGGATAAAATACACTAAAAGAAAATAATGCTTAGGTTTTGGATCTGTATGATCTACAGATTTTCATAGACTTACAAGTATTCCAGCAGTTAAATGGATTTTCCAACCTATTAACAATGTATTTCTAGAGGTCTTAAGCAGTGGAAACCTCACCTATTCGACATGCTCAACATATCTATTATTTCTAATCTATGTATGGCCTGAATATAAAGAAAATCCCACAGTCCTCACAGAGATACATTAGAAGAATAGAAGATATCCTTTAAGGTCATATTACTGTCTAGTAGTAGAAATAGAGTGCTATCAGGTAAGGGGATGGGAAAAGGCGACTTGAGCTCTGCAGTTTGCATCAGAACTTCTGTTGGGTTGTTTTTATCATTTTGTTGTTGTTTTTTTCTCCTAGAGTGTGTAAATCAGTGAGAACATGAATATTTAGCAGGGTATGAATAGAAAAGAGATTGCGTGCCAGACCAGTAGCATAGTTTTTCAGAGTCTAGCCAAGAACACAGATTGAGCCTTTTTACTACCCGATACATTTGTAATTGAAAAGACTTGTTTGCTACAAAGTGAAACAGTTATAATTATGCTAATGTCTGGTTCTAAATGTCTGATTAGAACTACTGATTCACGTTAAGTGAAAAAAAAGTTGTAAGCACTACTTCTCTGGAGTAGGTAAAGATCATGGAAATGCTAAACCTTGCCTTCATGATAACTGTAAAACGTTCTTTTAACCACTGTATTAGAATCACAGAGGGGGAGGAAAGAGAACCAAATGATTTGAACTTTATCACTGAGTGATTCAGTGATTCATCCCTATGGAAACTGAATGCTTAATAGTACCTTTGTCAGATAATATTAGCTGTCAAGCTCTGAGCTTTGGTAGAAGGCCTACTAGCGGGGGCAGCACCAATCTCTGGTGACTTTTGACATTAACTGTTGTTTTACACTGTAACTGTGCTATGTAACTCCAGGCAAAGAAGGAGATTTTTATAGGCTTTCTTAGCCTGTAACTAAGGAATAGTTAGTGGCTTTAAACAGTGTACTACAGTAAACATCATCAATCTCATATTACAGCTCTTAAGAGCAGTGCAATGTAGTGGCAAAAATTGTTGAAGTGGTAGAGCAGTGTAGTACCTACCATTTTTCCCCACAGTTAGATGAACAATTTATTCCCCAGATGGAGGATATAAGGGAAGCAAGCCAATCCATATAACAGTTAAATATGTTTTGCTGTAAGTCCCAAAATAATCAAATTCTTTCTGAATTTTACTTTCTAATTGCTAAGAATTTTCTCTCACTTCTCATTATAGTGTTTCCTGAAGACTTATAAACTTTGCTTGCAGAATTTATTGGACTGTAACAGCATTTGCTGTGGATCCAGCGTGCTGGGATTCTTCACTGTTAAATAGGTCATATGTTATGTTTCCAAAAACATCTGATAAGACAGTTTGTAAGCAGATTGATTGGGTTTTACTGTCAGTGACAGCATTACAGTGTCCTGTAAACATC